ATGTCAGTGACTATGAGACTTATTTATCTTACACCTGCCAACAACATGTCAGGTGAGATATATACCACCTGATCAATAATAATATAGATATTGGTAATATAGCTATAATGGTAACATAGACATAATATAGGTATTCTATATTTCTATAATCTACTCAGGAATATATGAGAGAGAAAAATGTAAACAGTTTATCAGTGGACAAATATCTTTCCAATATACCAGATTTTTTAACACTGAAAATTTATTAAAAGGAAGAAACTTTTCTTTCAATGCAGACTGTAAATAATTTACCTCTGAAGTGGGTTTGCTGAGCACTAAAAATCCCATTTTTTTTGCTTTAGTGCAAGAAAATTCTTTCATGAATGAAACTGGACCCCTATTTCTCACCATATACAAAAATCAAATCAAAATGGATTAAAGACGTAAATCTAAGACCTCAAACTCTGAAACTACTACAAGAAAACATTGGGGAAACTCTCCGGGATATTGGCTTGGACAAAAATTTCTTGTGGAATACCCCACAAGCACAGGCAACCAATGCAAAAATGAGCAAATTGGATTACATCAAGTTAAAAAGTGTCTGCGCAGCGAAGGAAACAATCAACAAAGTGAAGAGACAACCCACAGAATGGAAGAAAATATTTGCAAACTACCCATCTGACAAGGGATTAATAACCAGAATATATAAGGAGCTCAAAAGACTCTATAGGAAAAAAATCTAATCATCTCATTTTAAAAGGGGCAAGAGATTCAAACAGATATTTCTCAAATGGAAAACAGACATATGAAAAGGTTCTCAACATCATTGATTATCAGAGAGAAGCAAATCAAAACTACAACAAGATACCACCTTACCCCAGTTAAAATGGCTGTTATCCGAAAGACAGGCAATAACAAATGTTGGTGAGGAAATGAAGAAAAGAGAACACTTGTACACTGTTGGTGGAAACGTAAATTAGTACAACCACTATAGAGAGCAGTTTGGAGGTTCCTCAAAAAACTAAACATAGAGTTACCATAAAATCCAGCAATCACATTGCTGAGTATATACCCAAAAGAAAGGAAATCAGTATATCAAAGAGATATCTGCACTTCCATGTTTATTGCACCACTGTCCACAATTGCCAAGATTTGGAAGCAACTGAAGTGTTCATCATCAGATGTTTGGATAAAGAAAATGTGGTACACAGTGGAGTACTATTTAGCCATAAAAAGAATGAGATCTTGTCATTTGCAGCAACATGAATGGAACCGGAGGTCATTATGTAAAGCTTGAAATAAGTCAGGCACAGAAAAACAAACTTTGCATGTTCTCACTTATTTGTGGGAGCTAAAAATCAAAACAACTAAACCCATAGAGATGGAGAATAGAAGGGTGGTAACCAGAGGCTGGGAAGGGAAGTGGGGGTAGGAGAAGTAGGAGGGAAATGGGATTGGTTAATGAGTACAAAATAAAAATGGAAACAATGAATAAGACTTAGCATTTGGTAGCACAACAGGGTGACTATAGTCAATAATAATTTAATTATACATTTTAAAGTAACTAAAAGAGTATAATTGGTCTGTAACACATAGGATAAATGCTTGAAGTGATGGATACTCCATTCACCCTGATGTGATTATTACACATTGTATGCCTGTATCAGGGTATTTTGTGTACTCCATTAATATATACCCCTACTATGTACCCACAAATATTAAAAATAAAAATCTTCCATAATACAATAACATTTTTACGTTTTTTAGTTCCTCCACTATAGTTTATATTTTCTTTTTTCTTTTTTATATACCCTAGAACTTAAAGTATAGTACAAAATAAAATAAAATATTATTAAAAAAAATTTATATTTTCATTTCATTTTGTGATTCTGAGAAGCAATTATCCTTTTACTCGGAGAAGCAATTTTTTAGTAAGGTATCTCAAAGTCTCCCTCTCCCCTTGGAAATATGCTTCCATTATTCTTAGAAGCTCCATCTATGAGCTTTCTTTTCTTGGCCAAGGGTGTAAATAAAAAACCCAGTTGAATTTTGAATTTAGGCCCTCGCCTTAGTTGCTGTAAGAAACAGATTGAATTATTTATAACCGTGGACATCCAGGTTTTCATCACCACCGGCAGATGGGTGTTTTAGAGCATTCACCTTTAAGATATCCAGAATACAAGCTGTTGATCCTCTGTGGATTGTAAATTTCTAGACTTGGGCTTCTCGGTTCCTGGCGGGTTTTGTCAAGTTTTATGATCACCATTACATTAGCCCCTCTGAAATGTTGGGAAGCTGGGAGCCTCCTTCCTATTAGGAAGCCTTGCCTTGACTTTCTACCAATAAAGTTGTTCTTAGACCAGAGTTCATCCTAATAAGCATCTTGAGAATTGCCCCTGAACTAAGAATTATTTCCCCCTCTGTCTGCTCTAAGCCTCAGAATCTTACACAGCCTACATGCCTTGAATCTAAGACAGGGCTTATAGCATAACAACTTTTTTATCACCTTCCATCAGGCAGCAAAGCCTCCAGGTGGATTAGGCTGAGTATATAAGAAGCTTATAAGGTAGCAGATGTCAGGCCTCAGTAAAGGTCATTCTGCTAGGGCTATTCTCTTTCCCGACACAGTTTTCTTCCTGGACTAGTGTAGGACGTGGAAGGAGGACTGGTATTCTGCCACAGACCCTTGGAATGCTCAAGATACAGGATCCTCTGTGACGGATGTGCACATGGTCTAAGAACCTAGGGCTGAAAGTGGCAACATGTAAAAGGACAATGGAATACAAATGGGATAACGTTACTTGATCATCTTTCCAAGTATGAAACACGAAGGATTACTAGAATGTGATGCTGCTGTGATTTCTGGATACCAAATCTTTCTTTTATGCAGAAATTTATATTCCTTCATCAGAAAAACATAAGTTAGACATCCTCATTATGGTTCCATTTGAGGAAGAAAGATTTAGGAAAGTTCTCTACCATCTAACCAGGATTAATGCATAAAGCTCTTACCTAGTCAAATGTAGCCCAAAAAGTTGTTAAAGGGATGCAGAACAGATGGGCTAGAGAGGGAATTTAAAAATCATCTTTAATAAACTCTTCCTAAGAGCCAAGATCCACATTATGGGGGCAAATTGCACAATAATATAATTGTCTTAGGGATATAAAGACTCCATGCAGAATATTGGCTCAATGCTCTGGCTCAGTTGAGTTGAGTGATGTTGGCTATCTAGGCTGTTGATGTGTCACTTACTTGCAGGCCACTGGAGTAATACAATTAAACCAGCCACTTACATAACCCTCCTATAACAAACACAAGTGCCAGGATCACACTGATGCAGGGGTGTGAAGCAGAGTGCATTTCTCAAGATGCTTTAGGCCATCAGGATCTGGTGGCATAGCACTCTGTTCTCATGGCCCCAACTTTTCCAAGAAGTCTGACCTTCTAGCAGACAACCTAAATTAATGTCAAGTACAAATGGATTCTCCATAAAAACATTTGACTAATTCATTGCCTAGATCTTAACATTTGTGGCCAAATTTCCAGTTTTCCTGATGAATAACTTCTTGTTAGAAAATGTCAGAAAAGGGAAAGACATCATGGGCTTCTACAGGAAGTAAATACGACTGTTTTCTCCCTGAGTCATGGGTCAAGGGTTTTACCAATTTCCCTTCTAGAATTTTTCCTAGGCTCCAATCTAAAAGGAGTTTAGCACCAGATGGGTGGGGGCAGGGATGTGATTAGCTATTTATTTATATTTCTACAATGTTGAATATACTGTTATTGCTAGGGATTTCCATTCACTTTCTCTGCATAGAAATTTGGTATTCCTGGGGTTGGGGGCTGGTGGTAGAATGTCTTTACATGGCCATACAAAACCCATCACAATCTGGTGAGCCCTTGGAGTGTCTTGCTTAAAAGGGTTCTCGTCACTGGGAGTACTCACTGGAGCCAAGCCAGTTCCCTGGGGAATGCTGGTGTCTGCTACTTACAGAGTTGGCTGTCAGGTTGGTCCTGTGTGTTTGTAATTAGCTATGATGTCTGGATGTTGATAGAGTGAATCTGGCCCATTGGTTCCCCTCCAAAGAGGGGTTTCCTGGCTAGCTCTCCTGTGTCAGAAATGCCAAGTTCGGAGTTGCCTGGAGACACCAGAGATGCAGATTTATTTGGCTGAGCTCTGGTTGTGAAGCCAAGTGCCGAGAAAACAGATCAGAGACCAAACCTGAATAGTAATCAGTGGGCTTCTCCAACCACTTGGCTCTTTTGCTTTCCAATGTTATGTTTAATGTTTTAGAATATATTTAGTAAACATGTCACTAGCAATTGCCAGTCCTCAGTCTTTCCCCACTCTTTTTTTTTTTTTTTTTAATGGTTTTCCTTTTTCCTTTGGGTTAGTATGATAGGCTGGTTTTACAATGTATCTGAGTGTGTGTGAATGTGTTTCAGGCTAGACAAATTGGAAGATTTGTTTTTACTAGTTCTTAGCTTGTTATAGCATCCACTCCTTATTAACTGGTAAATAATATACCTTCTTCTCTTTTATCCTCAGATTTGGCTTGTTCTTCTCCCCTGAGAAAGCTGAGCTTAGAGTATACATCAATTCACACAACTTGGTTTGAATTTATAGATGCATGCAAGGTATGCTCTTATTTTTTCTTGCATTGAGTTCGAAAAACAATATTCCTTTGTGCTTTAGTCCATGTAGGATACAACTACACTCTACCAACTAAGAACTGAATGGTTTCTAAAGTCTTTCTCTTTAATTATTCCAACCCCAGTATGAGATGAAGTTGGGATCCTTGTTCTTCCCAGTCCTTGCCTCCTTCTTTCTCCCTATCCTTACTACTCCTCCCTACATGTGTATTTTCCTTTAGTTATTGTGTAGCTCCTTATAGATCCCTGAATGTATCAAGCTGCTTCATGCTTCCTTGTCTTCATAATTGTGTGTTAGTTTCCTGTGGATGTTGTGACAAATTACCACAAACTTGGAGTCTTAAGCATCAGAAATTTATTCCTTCACAGTTCTGGATCCCAGAAGTCCAAAATCAACATGTAGATAGGTTTACTTTCCCTCTGGAGGCTTTAGGGGAGAATCCATTCCGTGTCTTTTCTGACTTTTGGTGGCTTCTCTCATTCTTTGGTTCATAGCCATGTTAATCCGTCTCTGCTTCCAAGGCGACATTGCCTTTTCCTCTTCTGTCAGTGTCAAATATCCCTCTGCCTCCCTCTTATAAGAACAAATGTGATTACATTTAGGGCCCATCCAGATAATCCAGGGTAATCTTCTTTTCTAAAGATTCTTAACTTAATCACATCTGCAAAACCCTTTTTCCATATGAGAGAACATTTATGGGTTCTAGAGATTAGGACTTGGATACCTTTTGGGGGTTCATTATTCAGCCTAACATCCACTCGCTATTTCCTTAGCTTGGGGCATTCTGTCCACTTTTTGTTACCTAGTCAGTACATCTCAGACTATCTATGATGAAGGATCATTTAAGAAATTAAATTTAAATTTGTTGCATTTATGACAAAAAATGACAATTTTTCAAAATCACATGCTTGCACTTTGCAGCAATACCAAATTACTATTATAATTTCCAAACTCTTACTCTTCTCTCGCATCAAACCAGTAACCAACAGTTTGCATACTGCCACTAGTCCACAGACCACACTTTCAGTAGTACTGATCTATATGGCTCCTACTCATTTAAGCACCATCTTTTCCAGGAATCTTTTCTGGCTCTCTATTTCCGACTTGAGTTTAATGACCCTGACCATTCCCATTGTTACTAAGATTCTTTAATTTCTCTTCACTTTCTAGTTCTTAGTTATTTGCTTGATCCTCTCTCCTTTAGCCTCTTAAGTGTTAAGAACCATGCTTTGGTAGACTTTGAGCCTACCATGGATCTTGATATATAGTAGATGCCTAATAAGTTTTTATTGAATAAATGATTGAGATATACATGGAGTCTTAAGGTTGCATCCCAAATGAACAGAGAAAAGATGTATTTGGGGAAAATGTGAGGAAAGGATGAGACTGAAGAAACTGAAGGAAACCTAGGATGGTGTAGTAGATTACGAAAATGGTCACAAATTCTTCCCATCGAGAAGGGAAATTTATTTCTGTAACCTTTAAATCTGGGCTGGCCTAGTGATTTGCTTTGACCAATAGAATGTGGCAGAAATTATAATTGACACCTGAACTAGGCTTTCCAAGGTTTTATAGCTTTTGTTATCCTCTACCACCATATGAACAATGCTGGCTTAGCTTCCTGGAGAATGAGAGACATTGCAGAGGGAGGTACCATCAGTTGGCTATTCAAGGCATCTTTTGAAGCCCCTAAATATATGAGTAAGCACAGTCAAGGACAGTTGAGCCCAGATCACTCGAGTAAAATCACCTGAATGAGCCCAACGCAAATTGATAATACACAGAATCATGAGCTAATTAAAGTGGTTGTTGTTTTAAGCCACTAATGATGGTGGTTTGTTATACAGCAAAAGCTAACTGATCCAGAGAGGAATCAAAATGAGGCATGAAAGTTAATCAAGAGTTGTGTTTTGTCCTCCCCCAATGCAGAATAGGGATGGGTTTAAATTGTGACAGGGAGGACTAGAATTAGATGTTACAAAGTACTTTTCCTTTGCAGAGTGTGAAACATTAAAAGACATAGATAGCGAGAGGAATAAACATAGATGTAATTTGCATCCCTGGCTGTAAAACAAAAAAAGGCACTAACAGATCCACGTGGAGCTTAAACCCAAGACCTATTGTCTTTAGAGGCAGAGTCAACAGGCAAGTTGATGATTGTGCAGTTCAGCCCAACTGAATTAAAAAAAAAAATGACATTAAGTTTTCTTGAGATTTGCAAGTATCGCTGAAAAGAAAGGAGGAAAGCAGTTGAAAAGTTCAGCTTTAGATTTTGATAACTTGAACTTGTGCTTCACCCTCCTCATGGCTCATTTGGCCTACCTTTCATTCATTCCTTCTGCAAATATTCACTGTTCCCCTCCCCTGCACTGGGCTAAGGGCTAGGTACTAAATATTTGATGATGAATAGGACAGACACAAGACCTCACAGATCTTACTGTTTGGAAGAGAAAACAACCTAATAGGCAACTATTACACTTGGAAGCTTAGGCTTTTTTTGCTTTTTTCAGATGCATCAAGCATACCTTTCTGCTTTTGTGATTCCCACCATCATGTGTAGCCAACTTCCATCAAGCCTCAGCATCTGTGCCTTTCAGCATGACACTTAGATCACTTCAGGACTAGTCTGAAATCAGCTGTTTGAAATTATGCATCACTAATTTATTGATGTGGATCATGACGAATCAAGGAAAGTGGAGTCAGAGCTGTGAGAAAAGAAGAAACACATCTGGTGGAGGGTTTTATGGGCTTACAGGTGAGCCTGTTCGTGCCAGCCTGCAGTGTAGAATTTTAACTTCTCCTATAAAACATCTGAGGCCTAGAGATCACAAATCAGATATATTGCATCCAACGTTAAAAACATCTCATAATTTACCATAGTAAATCAATCAATATTTTCCTAGAAATATTGGAACTGAAACAAGAGTTGAGTGAAAACAGAAAAATCTCTAGAGGTTTAGTTGGCTTAAAGGTATTTCTTGAAATATTGAATCCCAGGGGCTAGAAAACTGTATTAGAGATATCCTTGAAAGGTGCTTTTCCAAGTGATGGAAAAGTGGCTTCCAGAAAGTTGTTTATTACTTGGTAGAAGGAACCAGTTAGTTAGGTTATGGGAGGACAGTCAGCTCTCCATTACCCAGGGGCCAGTTATTCCAAAACTGTGTTTTGATCCTTGTGTCCATTGCTTCATTTTGATCCTTTTGTCCGTTGGAACTGCCATCCAAAGGATTGCCGAAGAAGTTGGAGAACATGTGACTCAATATTAACAGTATACTAAAAATTAGCAGCATATTAGCTATACTTATTCTTTAGATAGCTCTGTGAGGAAGTGGTTTCATCTTTCCAATACGGTAGTCCTTAATACTTGTGGATTTTATTTATTCCACTATATTTGCCCATATTTACAGGAGTAGGAAATCCAGGGGAGGCAATTAGAATACAGTTTTCCATTTCCCATATTTTTGCTTCTATTTTTAAGTTTTTAGCGTAACCATTTGTCTGCCAAAAAAGAAAAAAAAAAAGTTCCCAGAAAGCTCTAGGAGAAAGACCATGGAACTGGTGGCTAGGAAAGAGATTTCTACTCTGGGCTCAGAGATTATCTAACGTTTTTATTCTCTGGTTCCTTATTTTAAAAATGGACCCAAAATAGTGCACTTTAGTCCTTGTGGTGGGGAGGAGGGTGTTAACACTAATTAACAGGAAAAAGACACTTAAAAAGTTAAAAGCACTGTGTAAATATAATATCTGAAATGTGAAACTCCTAAGATTATACTCTTTGGAAACCACTCCTACAACAACTCTTGGTTCTGGTCCAGGGACTCTAGGAGGTTGAGAGAGTGGCCGTGAGCCCTTCTGCTCCCTGTGTGAAGGTGCCTCTCCCTCGCTACAGAACCTCTTCTTGTTTTGGCATCAGGTCTCAGCAGCTCGCCCTTCCTAGGTAGGTAGCGGTCCACTTGCTGTCTCCCGAGAAATCCTGATTGGCTCAGTTTCCTTATTCATAGGCATGGTATTAAACTTGAGAATTGGAAGATAATTTCTTCCAAGTCACAATCATTAGTTTGCACACAGCCATAGTTCAGGATTTGAAATCTCAAGATCTTTTTATTAAATGTCACCACTGCCTCAATTTTAAAATCGTAGAGGCACTTTTTTTTTTTTAAATAAAAGCACATTGTTGAGAATTTGATCCCTTGAATTCCCCTAAAATTATTCTCCTTTGGTGAGAAAACTCCTACTGATTTTTATCTTGTTCTGTTCTTTAAACTACAAGGGAAAACACATGCAAATCCACATATATGCATACCAGAAACAGGAAATGCTTTGTTACCAAAATTCAAAACTGGATGAAGATCAAAAAACTACTTATTAAGTACTATGCTTATTACCTGAATGATGAAATAATCTGTTCACCAAACCCCTGTGACACACAGTTTACCTATATAACAAACATGCACATGCACCCCTGAACCTAAAAGTTAAAAAATAAAAATAAAAAAATTACTCAGAGGAGAAAAAAAATCAAAACTGATTCTATCCACCTACTTCATTAAATAAATAAATACATCTTTTATTTCTTAATTGCCCTAAGTGAAGTACACTGTGGTTTTTGAAAACAGAGCATGTTAATGCAAATGCCGGAAAAACTCACCTGAGAAGCCACAGAGTATAAGAGAAAAGCTCTTGGACCCAGGGTCAGGAGGCCTATGCTACACACTTGTGTGTGACCACAATAAACCGCTTAACCCTCTGGACTTGAGTAGAGGAGAGGCCAAGCTTAGTAAAATTTATGAGAATTCTTCCAACTGCAGTATTGGATTTTGATACCAAAAGGAATTCTAATGTACTGCATTTTTTGGGTTTCTCCATCTTGTTTAGGGTCTAGGATGACTTATTTCTTCTTTTCGTCTCTCCTCTCCCCTTCCCTCTCTTCCTTCCTTCCTTCCTTCCTTCCTTCCTTCCTTCCTTCCTTCCTTCCTTCCTCCCTCCCTCCCTCCCTCCCTTCCTCCCTCCCTTCCTGAGTGCCTGAGATGTGCCTGACACTTGCTAGGAGTGGTGATATAGCAGTGATGAGGACAGGCAGGTCCCTGACTTTATGCAGCTTATACTAGTGAACTCAGAGAATAAACAGTGAGTCCATCAACGTCTGTTAAGATTTAGCAAGTTCTCTGCCAGCATGGCTGCAGTTGTCTTGGAAATCTGAAGGAGGTAGACCATGCAACAAAAGGCCAAGACAGATCCCTGCCTGGCATTTTAGCCTCCAATTTGTGTTGTCAGTCAGGAGAAAGTTAAGTTTAGAGGCTGGAGTCTGGAAGGCAAAGGGCAAGGCATGCTCTAATGGGTACCCGTCATGCAATTCTTTGGTCTCATGGTCTTTTTTATAATCTCTATTAGAAG